TCGAAGTAAGGGTGGGTCAGGCAGAACCCCTCACCCATGCCCAGTACACCCTGCCTGGCCCCCTCAGGCCACTGCAAGTCACTTGACCCAAAATGTCCCGGTGGGACATTTTGGTGGCTTTTGTGAACATAAAACTTGCACATGCAAGCAAAATGCTATCAAATGAACTCATCAGTCGAATCCACGCACATCCACTCAGATCCACTCAGCCCGGAACAACTACTAGACGAGGTGAATAACTGCAACACAGCCCTCAAAGAAAAAGAGCTATCTCGGACCCTTCCTCCACCCAAACCTAGAACCTTGGATAGGAAACCACCATTTATACAGCTAAGATCTTGTAGGCTTGGCGAGTTCCATAGAAAACCACTGCAACCTGTCTTCGGAGCTCTCTCGCTGCGCAGGTTCCGGAAAAAAAGAAGCCGAGCGACACACACATGCCAACAGGCACCTCAGAAGGAAGCTGTAGGATAGTCAAAGTTGCTTTGCACTGAGGAATGGAACTTAAGAGACTCGGGGAAAGCATGGATACCATGCTTGAACACCTGACATGTTTACACTTCGTTTTGCCACAAGGCTACGTTGAAAACCTCAAAATTAATTGCATGCTATATATATATATATATATCAGATATAAGGTGTCCGCCGGCACTGAAGGTCTCCGTCTACTCTGGCACTGTTTCAAACGGCTATCGCCTGAGCCCGATTTTGCAAACCCAGTTGACTTGCGGATATTGAAATGAGTCTTGAGGGAGGTATTGGTACGCTTCAATGTGATTCAATCAATGGTGGTTGGAATATGTTGTAACCCGTTCTAGGGTCATGATATCTGAGAAGGTGTTTGGAGATCCACCTGAGTCTAGAGAATTCAGTCCAAGCGACCACGTTCTGCGGCAGCGAGTCATCCACCTTCCCACAGCACTCCATGGCTCCGTTGAAAACGAGTTGGCCGGATCGCAACAGAAGGCCCAAGTCTGCCCTATTGATGCTCCCAGGATTCTTGGAGGCTTCCTTGAAAGATATTGGATGAATTTCCGGAATTTCAACGTCAAAGAGTGTGAAGGAGTTCTCTTCTATCCATCTCGGGAGGCTGGACTTGCCACATGTTTCGGATGCTCGAAGACGAGCCGCTATATGTGATGCCTCCCAGAAGAGCTTCACGTGACAGAATCAGAATCTCGTTCGGAACCAGGAGTTTTCATGTTTGACCGGGCGAAGCCCCAGTCCAAGGCCAAGATTCCTGAGCCGGAAATGGGCAAACCGTGGAAATGGATCCAGCTTGCACCGATGAGGATGGTTCTGGATGCCCTTTAAGAACCATGTCAGCCCTGAGTCCGTCCACAGCCTGCGGATCCGGATGGCTTTGATTCACCAAAAACTGGGGAGGTTGAAAGTGAGTGCCTGGAACGAACCACTGAGGTCAAACGTTGGCCTCCATAGAAGCACTATACGGATGCTGCACTCACTTCCAGCACTCAGTCCAGTCGATCAGCGATAAAAAGTGTCCACCCACTCCATCATATGAAGACATGACGAAGACCTGACTCACTGCTCCCCTGCTCCAAATGCCAGCTTCCCCAGGGCGTGAATCGTCACAAAGGAGTGTTGACACACGCGTTTGAACCTGGTTCTTCAACGTGACCTTTTGATATCTCACTTTGAGGTGACAAACAGGCCTGTAAAAGGTCACTGGATCGGACACCAGTGCAGAATCACGAACTGAAGATTGAAGAAGGCGAAAATCCAAAACTTATAATGTTGAGCATGTTTTGCCAAAAAAACAAATCAAAGAGTTCACTCAAAAACAATGAAATAAGTTCCCTTTTCACACCTCCCCGCACGGTACGGGATTCCGAATGACCCGCCACAATGACTCAGGTCTCTCAGATCTTTAAACGCCGTGACTGGTAGTGACTATTACAGTATATGGTGACTATGTGGTTCACATGATTCACATGTTGACATCTGAGAGAGGAAAAAGTCATAGGCCGAGCACGCAAATTCATCAACAAGAGTTGAGCGCTTCTCGCGGCCTTCGGTCGCCGAGAAGACGTTGTTTTTCCAGATGCTGGACGACACGAGCCATCAGCAGCTGGCCGAACAGGTCAATGATCATTGTTTCATCTTTCTTTAAAGCAGAACAGAACAGCGGAAAAGGGGCAGCAACTTGTCATATATTGTCATATTACATAGCTCCTTGTGTTCGCCACATCTTTGGACCCCAACAAGTGAGTGGATGTTGGCACTATCCTCGAGTCTTTGGATACCCTAGTGGATCCTAGTGGCACAATGGCACCACATCAGCGTGCCAAAGAGTTCAAGGACATCACATGTCGCGTCGTCGGGGCCTCAAAAGAAGCGCGAGAACTCCGATTCCTACCCACTGCCCAACAGTTAAGAAAAGAACAAAAGCTAGTGGGGAACCAACTGAATAGTGTGAGCGCTTCTTCAATGAAGCTCCACCCCGACCTCCGTCCAGCAGCTAGGAGCTAGTCAATGAAGGCGCCAGCTAAGCAAGTGGAGTCCCCAAAGTGGCGGACTTAATTCGTCTTAGTTCCTTCAAACTAAGGGGGAATCATATTGACTAGTGACTATATGTGGGTTGCATCACCTACAGTAGGGCTTGGAAACATCTGAACAGCGTCCTGGCGGGTGTCTTCCAAGGTGCCTCTCTAGGTGGGTGATTGCAGGTTGCCTGTTTGGATGCTGCCATGCTAACACCTTCTTGCTAGAAAAGTCTGCCAAGCTGCAGCCATGTCTTGACAGGGTCCAGCAAGTCATGACCGCAAGACTCGCGCATCCGACACCGAAGGACCGCCTGGACGGCTGAAACAGTGGCCTTTGCCACCAGCAATTTTGCAGCCGGCGAATTTCTGATCGAGTCTTTTTTGACCAAAAAAAGCTCCTGTTGGAAACAGGTCTGGGAGGGAGATGGAGGCTGTGTGCGGAAAGGGGGTGGTTCTAGCAAAATACTAGCAAGCTGGTGCATCAAAAAATACCTCCACAAAGTGCCGAAGTTCTGCGAAAGTCTCTGTGGTTCTTGTCATCGTTATATAGTTTTCCCATAAGATCCTATGAGGGTCCACCATTCCACGAATGTCCACGAACAGCTCCAAGTTCCAAGGTTTCTTCAATACCCTTTCTGTGCACTGCCCTTCTGGCCTACCTCTGAGAAACCAAGCACCGCTCCCAAACCATCTAAATGGGACTGGAACATTTGCTTACGTTGGGGTCATGTTCAACGGGTAGATGCACGTATATTGAAAATATTTGAAAACTATTCCAGTCCCATTGGCATTCCAGTCCCATTGGCTCTCAAATTTTGCAACTGAGATTCTCACAAACATGTGTAGACCAAATCACTGCACACAAACACATCTACCACCCACGAATGTTGGAAAATGCTTCTCTTCTACCAGGAATTGAGCAGTGGGCTGCAAAGCCCTCGGCGGAGTAGTTCCTTCCTGGAAGAAGTTTGCATTTCTCACAAAATCAATCCATATTGCAGGACAGAACAGCATCCTATCCGTTTGTTCAACCGATGACGACCCAAATCCGGCTATCTGGAGATACGAGTATAGAGGGTAAACTTTGACCAGACAGAGTTGCCCGAGCGCAGATTTTGAGCGGCTGGACTCAGGGCTCGATCAAAACACATGCAGCTGTTTATGGCGCGTCGCAAAGTGACGGGTGAATTAAGGACGGAAGCAAACGAGCTGATCCAAATGAGCAACATGCGAGCCAAGCTAGGCGAGGTGCATTAGTAATGGTATCGGTATGATGCTGATATTCCATGGGGGTCATATCCTCAAGGCACTCCCAAATCTTGTGCACGACCTTTGGACCAGAAAAGGGCCATGTTGGACCCTCAATCTCCTTGCCGTCCGGCCACGCGCGTGCGACGTTCGCCGCCTGTTTTGGTCGGCTGCAACTACTACACCTCCGCTTCGACAGTGCTCGGGGTGGCTGACTGGGGGCTCTGAGGATGGCCTTGGGGATATTGAACTCGCCCCAGCACTGAAATCCCAAAGTGCAAAAAAACATTCTTTCAGCCATGCACATCGAAGCCGAATCCCCCGGGACCCCTGCAAGAACTCCACACCTTCCCACCATGGTGAAATACAGCATGGTGCCGCAGTACAGGCCATTTAAAGCATCCAGTCACATCATGTGAAGAACTGCTCAGTCCGCGACCCGAGGGAAAAAGTCCGCGTGAGATCGCGAATCGTGGACATACCTCAACGACCCCGGGCTTCATGCTCGGCTTGTTCACATGCTTCAACTGCCACACCGGTGTTCCTGCAGCCTGCACCAATGGAACTCAAGGGTTTCTGCCAGGTGGTCCACCCTGGAAAGCCAAAAACCGGTGTCACCCACGGCAGTCGTGGTTTTGGGGCGACATCGCCCTTTTGCTGCTTGAAGATGCCGTGCTTCCAATGGGGTGGCCCGGAGATTCCATCGAAAGATGGTGGAATAGACCACTTTGAATGGGTTATTTCCATGATAAATGGTTCCAAATCTGAAGCCAATGGCATCCAATGGCGGATAGTTGCTTCCCTATGACTGGAGTCAATGGGCCTTTGGTCTGCGAAGCTGCTGGAGTGCAAAACCTACAAGTAGCGTGAAGCAAGCAAATGGTTGATATGACACCACTATGACTGGGTGCATGTGATGTTGAGGCATGCAAAACGTCTGCGTTGATCGCGGGGACCACGCAAATTCAAAACAGCCACCGTGCCATCAAACAAGTGACTACGCAAGAGCCCAGAATCAGTAGCTATCGGGTAGCCATGAGTTGATGATTAAGACGACATTGACATGGTTACAAGTTGCATGTTGCATAAGTTTCAACATGTGCAGCGTGCTAGCCCTTGCAAGATCATCTTTAAAAGCTTAGTGAATTTGGTGCAATGGCTTTTGGCAGCCACAGAGTCGCATCATGTTCAAGTGGAGTCTTTCTGGTTGGAAGTGTCATTTCAAGGAAAAACTTCTAGAACTATCTGGGTGTTCATTTGCCAAGCGCCAAGCTCAGGCTTCTTTGATGTGTTTTGCGCTCAAAGAGCCTTCACCCAAACCGCGCAGCGTTGCCGTTTCGCCCGTCTTAGGGTCTCACTCCAACTCCGTGCTATCTGAGCGGCGGACCTTGGCGGCTACCCACCGGAGGTGGATCCTGGTGCGTGGAGGTTCTCGAGGTTCTTCACCGCCACCATTGACATGACGTGTCATGACTGAACGTGTCACCTATCATGACGCGCCATGACTAAACAAATTTTGGAACATAACATGTCATGACTGTCATGCGATGTCATTATTTCAGGGTCCACGAGACTTGGGTTGGAGTTTGATTAGCATTCCTTTAGCATTCCAGCTTCATTGCAAGAAGTTTACTTCTTTGTCGTCCTCCAAGTCCGCGAAGGTTTGTACCGTTGTACCGTGGTCCATGATGTTTGGTTCTTGGAAAGTTTGGTGACATCCAGTCGTGTAATGTGCGAGTGCATCAGAACAGCTATGGTGTGAGACAAATGCACAAAGGAAACTCAGGCAAAACAAATGCTACTGCTGACTAAATTCATCATCAACTAAGTTCACAATCAACTACACAAAAAGAGCCATCGCTGATATAAAACTCCTTGCCACCCAAACACAAAAAACTCAAAACCTGTGAACATATGTCTCAACACCGGGGACTGGACATGGACAATTTGACGACAAACAAATAATGATAAAGACAAAGCAGCTTGCAAATCACCACAGTCACGCTGGGACGGGGCAAAGCACAAAACAACAACACAACAGCAACAACAACCACAACTACCACCACAACCACCACCACCACCACCACCACCACCTCAACAACCACAAGCACAACCACAACAGCGACACAAACAATGAAAACGGCAACGGCAACCACAACGATGTCAATGACGACAACAACAAGGAACAACAGAAACAACAACTGCAGCCCCATCGACGAACATCTTGTAGCTGTGTTGCTTAAAGGAGGTAGAAACTTAGACTTGAGCCCTGCTGCTGCTTTTTGAGCACGACCACCGAAGCAACAAACCAAAAGTGCCAGCACTAGCAGTAGTAGTCGCAGCAGTAGTAGTAGCAGCAGCAGCAGCAGTAGTAGTAGGTAGTAGGCAGTGGGTATAGTAGGTAGTGGGTATAGTAGGTAGTGGGTATAGTAGGTAGTAGGTATAGTAGGTAGTAGGTATAGTAGGTAGTAGCTAGCAGCTAGTAGGTATAGGGTATAGTAGGTAGTAGGTATAGTAGGTAGTAGCTAGTAGCTAGTAGCTAGCAGCTAGTAGCTAGTCGGTATAGGGTATAGTAGGTAGTAGGTATAGTAGGTAGTCGGTATAGTAGGTATAGTAGGTATAGTAGGTTTAGTAGATAGTAGTAGGTTTAGTAGGTAGTAGTAGGTAGTAGGTAGTAGGTAGGTAGTAGGTAGTAGGTAGTAGGTAGGTAGTAGGTAGTAGGTCGTAGATGGTAGTAGGTAGTAGATGGTAGTAGGTAGTAGGTAGTAGGTAGTGGGTAGTAGGTAGGTAGGTAGGTAGGTAGGTAGGTAGGTAGGTAGGTAGGTA